CGATTATGGGACCATTATTTCAAACGTACTGCAATATTGACCGGCACCAAAAATTTGACCATAACAATACTTAGGGTGCACAAATTCCTCTGTCTGCCTACTCAAATGATGTCCCTGCCACTAATAGCTAATTACACGAGAAAGAAGTGACTTATTAGAGACACTTTTAAATATATTATAGTTCCAATATAATGTAGATTTGCTATAGCCACAGAACCACTATCCAAGTGTGTTTACTGAATTAAAAACTATCCATTTTATAATTTACAGTAAACATAATATATAAACAATAAAACAATAAAACAATATGTTTATAATATATATAATATATCATCTGATATAGTGTGTTATAACTTATATTATGTATGGTAAATTGCTAACCAGATGTATAGTTTAGTCCCTATAGATGTTTTATTGTAACAATGGGCTCCTCTATTCCTTAAAATATTTCGAATGTCGATGTTATAATTATGTTACATGTGTGCATTAATAAACATACTGATAATAAATAATAATAATATTATTATATACAGTGCGGTAATTATTACAAGATATTTGTGGATTTACCATTTACATTCCTTGTTTACTACAGTCAATGACTATATATTTATATACTAAGAAGTAAGAATAGTCTAAGATACAAGATATCTATACTAATATACTACTTGAATAAGTAGATATATTATACTAGGTATAGATATTTACTTCAGATCATGTTTTTTTAGAAACATGATTATTATTATGCATGTATTTGAAGTTTGAACATTAAAGTTTTTAATAGTTCGTAAAAATAGTGACGTGTAAACTAAAAACATTTGTAAGACATACACTATCTATACAGCGTATCGACTATAGACTATCAAGTAGCATTAACACAACTGTAATGCAAGAGCCATGCATACAAAATGATATTATGTCATAGGTACCGATATATGTATCATGCAGTATAGCGTACACATATAAATTATACTTAAATGATAAGTACTTAAAATATATATTTTAATATTTATGTCTATAAAGTACTAAACGTTAACAGCTAAAAGATATATTTATAAAAATGTACGTCTAAACTATCGCTCAAATTTGTTAATCAATAATCCACGACCAATGTCAGAGTACACAATGCACATGCAGTACTTTAATCAGTTAAGCTATCTTATTGTTGATAAGTTAAATACCTGCATAGTTTTTCAATTGGGTATACTGGTAGTTACTATTACAGACACTTATTTTGTACCTATTTATAGTTAGTTACTTCTACCATTGATTAAATAATCAGGTTACTTAATCAATGCCCCTACCTAGTATATTTAAGTTGAGAAGTAAAATTGTTGACAACTACATGTCAATTTTCAAATACACAATATGTAACAAGAAAGCAAAATTCAAAACATACTACAAATACTCAAAAGTAGGGCTAAAATCTTAAGATGAAATATTTTTTTTTTGATTACCTAGGAATATTAGTTTCTAGCTGATCATTGGCTGGGAAATTAAATGCACGTGGATTTACTCCTTCTTAAACCCCGTTAAATGTAAACTGCATGGAATTTTAACAGGGTTATTTGAGTTGTATTGACGAAATGTCCAAGCATAAAGTTCGACCCGGTCTAAAATTATACCCAATTATAATATCTATTTTCAGGCTGATATATTAACGAACATTTTGTGAAAATCGGCCGAAAACTGTGAATTTGCATAAGGGTCATTCACTCATCCGTGTTATGCCTTTGATTTTATATAGTATAAATTAAATTTATTAATTATAGCTGATCCAGGATGGGACCTCCCTTGACAATTTAATAATAATGCCTCTATGCCAGTGAATATCCGTCTTAAAATCCGTTAAATGTAAACTAAGCACACATATTTTTAACAATATTTTTGGTGGTTTTGGTTAAATATAAAATACAAGTCTAAAATTACTTATACCCAATTATAATGACTATTTTATTTTCCGTCATCAATGGCAAACCAAAACTTATAAAAAAAATATTCGTTTTTCGTGAGATAACAAATCCTTGTGTAAGCCCTTCTTTAAAATTCAAAATTTAAAAATTATCTTATGCAATCTTTAGTCTATACCTTATTACTGCACAATAATTATTTATAAATATTATTATTTTTATACTTTCATGTATTTGTAATATCAGACTTTTTTTCTCTGTAATAAAAACAGTGTAATTAAAGTAATTTAGTCATTAGTCGTACTTATATTAAGACGCAATCTTTCATTATTGACATTCACTCTACGTCTTGTCCGATTGCGTAAGCCAGGAAAAGGACTAAAAGAATGTTGTAAATGACAAGCTGAAGGATACATACATACACCACCAGTTCTTTATCAAATCAGGTATTAATTACATTTTTTTTTAAAAATGAATTATTATATTTCATTCCTTAAAAAAACGTTGTATCTAATCAGTGTAGTGGTTTCATCAGTCCATTTACAAACTATAATACCGATGAAATAATTACTCGAATGTAAACCGTTTAAGGCGTTTTCAATAACTGGCCATCATAAATGGAAACGAGGTGTTAATAAATCATCTTTGCCTATGACATAAGACTACTCATATCTGAGTATAATATATTAATATGATGATAACTATTACGTGAGATGAATACCACAACAATATTTCTCGTACACTCGAGAATACATTATTGTATTGTATTATGGAGAACGGAGTGGCAGAGTGGAGTAAGCAGGTGACAGTGCTGATGAGCAAATAGTCAGCGGTTCGAACTTCGGTGGGTAGTTTTTTCTCTGTGGGCTGACAACTGCCTAAGAAAAAATAACAGCCACCACCACCCTCACGTAAGAGTCAACGGGAAACCAGTATATTATGTAATGTTCCCAAGTATTTATATATCTACTCCAATAACTTTAATAAAAATATTGGGTACTGGACGTGCAGCCAACCAAATCTTAGTATTTATAATTTATACTAACTTTATTAGCTAGATAAAAAAATGTAATATTTAAATACAACTAATACCTATAAAAGTAATAACAGTAGGTAGATTACGCTGTTTGAGCTAATATTTTAACTTATTTTTATGAGAAAAATCGTTTACCGAAAATTATTCTGCTTAGAATCATTTTTTGGATGTATTTTGAATTTTGGCTAACCATTAGCAATCCATTGAATACATATTTTAACAAATTAATTTTAAAATCAAGTCATAATAAACTACATTTAATATACTGATACAACACAAATATAGACGTATTATAGCGCTAAACAACTAAACTACCTACTAAATTACTATTACGTATTAAATTACAGACTAATAAAGTAATGAGTAATAAGTAATCAGTAATAAAACAATAACTACTAACTAATAGCATAATAAAATAGAGAATAATAAATAATATATAATATTAATACATATATTTCAACAAATTTAGCCTGTTAAAACATTCATAGGCATTTTATATACATTGCTGTATTACTCGTATTCTTTAGTAGGTGCATATTATAACGCCTAACTGCAGGTGAAAGTAGTAACTACAAAAATCAAATTGTCTCAAAAATAAGGTTTTCTGTTTTTATTATTAACTAAATTAATTAAATGTCTTATATTATTCCAGAAATTCAAAATGTTGATCATTTTGGGATTGATAAATTATTTTCGACAGATTTCTAATAACTACGGAGTTATTACTTTTCACCCTATCATTATGCCCACACACAAATTATGAATTATGACTATTATATATTTATGTACCAACTATATTATGCATTAAATGAAGTGCGATATCATCAATTATCAATATAACCTAGCAATTTTAGTAGAAAATTTCCGGAACTACCTACAGTAACAAATCAATATAAATAACAAATATTTATAAATAATTTACATTATTTGTTTTGTAACAAAATTCTTAAAAATATACTTAGTAGGTACAAATAGGTTCTGCAAATTATAAAATCCGTTATAATAATATTGATGGAAGTACAGTAAGAACACGTAATATTTTGAGTCCTACAACACTCCTTATTGTAATCGCAGTAACTACAGAGTACACACACTAAAGCTTTTTACTGTAGGAATTTTGGTTTACTGCATATTTTTCTTAGACATGTAGCCATTAGGTAGATAAGATTTTTGTATATATATTGTAGTTAGGTACTACTCAGTACTCAGTACCAGGTAGTAATGTAGTATACCTATGACATTTTAAAATCAAATTTGTTGCATATATTTTGTATTTAACATTATTATAATTAAACTCAGAGTGCCAGAATGATTTAAATATTTAGTAAACAATATTTTACCAAAACGTCATTTACATATATGTTTTTTTTTAAATAATTGCAGTATACTCGGAAGTTTTCTTACGAAATATGTAATCGTTTCGTACTATTTGCCGGTTTGTGTATGTACTATGCATAACATTGTAATTATTTTCATCGGCCATGAAAATCTGCTTTGAAATCAAAATTTAATTCAAAATTGTTTAAGATAAAATCGGATAAATATGGGTAATTAACACACACACACCATGCGCCGTGATGTACACCAATTCAGTGGCGCCGAACCTCCATTAAGCTGGGGTGAACCCTGTTTAAAGTTACCACCTACCCACCCACCAAAGCCTGATGAAGGGGGAGGGACAATCTCTTCTCAACAGTTCTGAGGTATTTACCATACGTGTTCGACAGCACGACTGTACACTATATAATACCTATCATGTAGCCAGCAATTGGAATGATTTTTTTTCTCACAATCTCAACTTGAGTTAGTTTCATGAACATTAGAATCTCTAATGTTCATGGTTTGTTTGTTGCTCTCAAGGTTTCAAGTTTGCTTGTTGCCATTATGAAGATCATACAATTTATTATGGTATATTATGATCTAAAGACCTGGCAGAACTGAGTCGGTGAAATGATAACAATTAGATAAGATTAACTGATAACAGCCACGAAAACTATAATAAATCATAAATGAGTGATATTGTATATTTGTATACTGTATAAATAGTGTATAGTATTATTATTATTTATTAATAAATTAGTCATTACTCTTGAGTATAAAAATATAAATTCTTCGTTACTTACCAAATGTTATAAGTTATTATTTATCACTTTTTAGTCTTGAATTATAGTGCTCAATATAACCGTTTAAATATATACATACGTATAGGAATAAACTAATACATTTACTGTTGTCAATTAGTAATGAATTTGTTTTAAGCGTGAAACTGGTAGTGCGTCAATTTTGGGATATGATTTTGTATGCTTTAATTTTAAGAAGCCGGGACATTCTACCACTGACGTCCACTACCAATTACCAATGTAGTAATGGCCAGAGTGCCATTGACTTGAAATTAATTAACAAGATCGTAAAGAATGTTCTAAAGAAAACTGATATACCCAAAAATAAATGTTTCCTTCGCACCAACGACAAAACCTACTAGTATGTACATGTTTATTTTAATATTTTAATGACTTTATCGCTATTATTACTTAGTACTAATTTCAAAATTAAGCATGCATTTAGGCTTACACTACTATCTCCTTAAATATATATTTTAAAAATGTAAATTCTTAAATATTAACTGAATGCAATGCCTAAACATGTACTGTTTAATGACAGTGTGCACCTATACAAATCATTTCAAACAAATACACATTAATAGGTAAAAAAATACCCACAAATATTGTTTTATTACTTTATTATTATAAAAATAATAATACTAAATATTCTATAAGTTATTAGCTGATCCTGTGCACTTGGTTGCCCGTTAAAAACTATATGAGACTCGATAGCGATAATATGAGCAGTATATTATGCCTACCTGCTGTGGATGGTGGACCCCGCTTGATGAGTACTTTATATAAATAATATATTTGATTTTGATTTTGATTTTGGATTGGGTGATGAGTGGCTATAAGTGCAACTCAGCCACCTTGATAGGCAATGAACGAAAATTCAATTGTATGCATGCTTATACCTGATATGCCCAATGAACCACAGTAGGCAACCATTAAACCAAAAAAATTCCAATTTCTACTAAATATATTTATATTTCTCCTATAACCAATAGCAATCGTATATTAACAAATATTTCCTTCCTAAATCTTAAAAGCCCTGTTTGAGCAACTCCTCGGGTCCAATTATGAATCTAAACCATCTAGGGCGTCACCCAAACGCATACAAAAAAATTCATTCAAATCTGTCCAGCGATTTGGGAAGTGTTCTGTGACATACACATGTACAGTAGAATTATATTATATATAAAGATAGGAGTAAGAATTTTATCTAATAGATTATAATATATAATATGTTTTCCTAATCAATGCTGTTACCATCCCATCTTTTTTTTAAACTCTTTGTATTACAAAGTTTAAGTACAAATAATATATATCTTGAATTAGTGTTTTTTACTAGGTATGATATTGTACGATATCTTTGTACCTACCTTTCATTAATCTTCATTTTTTTTCAGTTTGTCTATAGCTTATAAAAGTAGACATTCTTTCATGTAATGTTATTTTCTGACTTTCTGTAATGTGGAAAAATCAAAATTATTAAGTAGAAAATGCATATCTTGCAATTTGTTAAAAAAATTTTTAATTTTAAACATAAATAAAATGCAAATTGTATTTCTGGAAAATAATTGCTAAAATCTTCTTTTATGATGTTATTTTTAATATAAATTTTATTTGTGCATAATCAAACATTAATGTATTTTTTTTTTAATTGTTATGTCCTACAACTTATTATTACCTATGTAATAAATTAAAAATTTTAAATGTTTTGTTAACCTATTTAAATTTTTTGTTTTAGCTTTTTACCATGTTTGAATATAATTTGCATGGCAATGTGCATTCCATCATATCCTCAAGTTTTAGCCTACAGCTTTTTAGAAGAACTAGCTGGAGAGTTTACAAAAAAATATGACCGTTTTAAAGTTGAACAAGCCTTGAGGCCCTACAATCTTATTGAGTTTGGTAATATATTTAAAATATTTTATGCTTCAAATTGTACCTACATAATTTAATAGATATAAATTACATAAATACTGAAACATATTATTAGTGCACAAATTGTAATGCTTAAAAAACTTTAAAAAGTCCCTTAAACACACCCACTATAGAAAAATGACATTAAAATTATGATTGGGCTTATTGTTAAAAAACATTATAGTTTTTATTTCCTATCCATGTAATTATTTTTCTTTGCTCGCAGTAAATTTTTTTTTTTTTTTTATTGAACTTGAGCCCGGCAACTGTGGCCATTAGCTATTAGTAGGTATTGTAGGTTTGTATTGATGGTTTGTAGGTTTTTGGTACGGTAGGGGGGAACACGTGTGTGTTTGTTTTGGCAGAATTTCGAATGGGGCACCCGTAGGTTTCTGCCATGCCCCGGGGGTGGGGGATGGCAGCACTTGTTCTCCGGTCACCGCAACTTGTCTGGAGAAAAATGCCGCCCGGTGGCCGAGGATCAAACCGTGACCAGCTGCGTCACAGCGGAAGCGTCAGACCACTCGGTCACCTCGTCCCCCGCAGTAAATTTATTACAGCTGCCATTTGAATCTCACAAAAATATAATGATATATATCTGAATCAAGTTTCAATAATCCCAAAATAATATTTTTAAATGATATTCTATTTTTAAAAATGTTATATGTATATTTTTTCATTTCTATATTAATAATGGTAAAACATAAAGGAACATTTTTCCAAAAACTAAGAAAGTTTAAAAAAAACAAAATTAAAAATAAGTACAAGTTTAATTTTTAAATTCACAGATATAGATATAAATACAATTTTGTGATCACACTATAAAAAGTATATTTATTATTTTACATTAAAGTTCATGTCCTAATTATTATTATATTCCTAAATAAAAATAGATGTTTAACTATGTATTAATATAATTTAGATACTACTATACATCCTATTCAACAAATGTATAATAAGCCACAACAACTGACATCCAGAATAAATTTGGCTGAAATTACTCGTGATATCACGTTAGATCCACCTCAAGAAGTATTTATTGTTGAAGAAAATTCTAAGAATAATATTCATACACCACAAGTTATTCCTCCGACTGTTCGAGGTAAATTTCAAAAGTGCAATAGTAAATATATATTGGTGTAGGTGCAATATAAATACAAAATACTTATAAATAATATAATTTGGTTTATTATTTTCAATACACTATAATTATATTTGAATTAATTTAAAGTTTTGTTTTCAAAAGAATTACAGAATAAGAACCTAATAATAATTAATTTATTGAAAACAACTATCAATTTTGTATAAGTGCTGCGTTTCAAAACACTGACAACTTTAATAAAGTTTTACTTTAAGTTCTCAACTTTTAAAGGTTTTATAAAATGTTGACTGAGCTGATTATATTATGAAATGCTAATTAGTAAATAAAAAAAATGGCTCTGTGAAAGGTGATGTTTGGTAGCAAGTAGGACTTAGTTTCTACTTTAAGAGGTCAAAAATAAAATTTTCCCAATACTTTTTAAAATAATTGAAATGTACACAAAAAAATACCTACATTTGTTTATACTATAAGGTTGTATTATTAATAAAATTGTTTAATAACCTTGGTTACAATGAATTTTGGACCGTTTTCGCTCAGAATTGTTTGTTTTTCATTGTATTTGTCATTATTTATACACTCATTACAGTGACATATTTAATGACGAGGTATAACCGAATGGTTATCAATTTTTTTAAATTTTTTGATTTTAAGTTTTAATAATATAGTTATAACTGTTAATAAATGAATAAAATGTTAATTGATACTTTTCTTAGATTTTGTGTAAAATTAGTTTTATTTCAATTTTTTATTAAATTAATTAGTAGACATCTGCTATATTGTGCATACAATACATAGCATCTCTATAGTTCAAACAATTTATCAATAAAAGAGAAGTCATTTTTAATACCTATGTAATGATCCTGAGCATAACTGCATAAGAAACACTATTAAATGCACTATTTTATCATTACTTTTGCATTTAATGGTGTACAATAATTATGCAGTGGATTTAGTGAATACCCAACACTGTACCTGCATTCTATATTTTGGTTTTACTTTTTTCAAACATCTTTGTTACAAAAAAAAAATATTTATTTTGTTTATTAGGTTGGGTAATTAATTTGTTATTAACAATATTTGTATTACTTTATTTTTTCAGTTGGACCACTGCCTACTTTAGAACCTTTATCTTTTATTGACAAAACGTCTTTAATTTTTACCATATGTTTAATTATACATAGTATTGTCATAGTAATGGATACTTGGAGGAGTTGGACTACTGAGGTATGAAGTATTTATGATAATAATAATATATTATATTGTATACAAAAAAAAGTTTTGAAAACAAATATGATTAGAAAAGGTGGACAAGTCTGGACATTTCGATCTTCTTACAAATCACTATTTTGAAATTTAACTCAATTAAAAATTAACTTGTGTTATGTTTCAGGAAGATGACTCACTAGATACTGGTTGGCTTCACTTTTGTAGTATTCTCTTCCGATTAGCTCAGATGTATGTTCTTACGCACAAGCAAATGTATAGATGGAAAAAAGGGTGGACACTGTTCTTAGTGCTATTAGGTATAGATTGGTTTCTGTATTTCAATGATGAACTATGGCAAGTGATTTTAGTTTATGTCATTACTACACTGACACATACATGCATACTTAGACGGAAAATTGCCATTAAATTACCACAATATCAGATTTAAGCATGAATAAAATATTTTAAATCCTATTTTATTATGATAAATGTGAATTAAACATAAAATGCTATTCTGTTAACAAAACATTGTATAACAAATGTTTCTTTTTCTACAAAAATTGCAATATAAAACCATTATTATAATCTAGTTTTTTTTATTCATTTATATATTATATTTATTGATATATATATTATTTATTTACAACTATTATTGTTCTATTGTGATAAAATGATAATAATGAGATTTATTAATCTTGTTTCAAGATAATTAACATTATACAATTATAAATAAGTGCTATTAAGTATATTTAAAAATATGGTATTTCTGTAATGCTGTATATACAGAGTGTCCCTTGAAGATTTACCCATTACAATATCTCCTGAAATAATGGAGATATCATATTTCGATTTTTTAGTAAGACTCACAGGGACAAGAACTAAAAATATTTCATGTTTTAATTTATTTTAGGGTTTTGCTAAAAGGTTAAAAAAAGTTTTTTTTTATTCAACTATTTTCAAAAAAATTGAATATTGCCCTTTTGTAGAGATCATTTTTTTAAAAATATTGTGTTTCAACATTTTATTTTTATTTAACTCTTAATTTTTAATACTTTTTATGGTATCGAGAAAAATTGCAAATTATTTAATACTATAGTGGTATCCAACACATGGCGCTTGCTCATATGGCCGCCAAATGTTTTCAGTGTGGCCTGCAATTTTTCTCAAAACTAGAAAATATATTAAAAATCAGAAGATTAATGAAAATAAAATGTCAAAACGTCAATATTTTCAGAAATATGAACTCTACAAAATGGCAATCTTCAATTTTTTTTGAAAATAATTAAATAACAAATACATTTTTTAACTTTTTACCAAAACATGGAATATTTGTAGTTCTTATCCCTGTGAGCCTCATTAAAAAACAAGAACTATCATGTCTCTATTATTTCAGGAGATATTGCAATGGGTAAATCTTCACATTACACTCTGTATAATTTGATTACATGTGTGCTCAGACTCAATATTTCAGTCTGTTGGGATTTTTGTTTGATAATTTATCTAATACTAATAAATTAGCCTCGATTGTGGTTTATTTTGAAAGTGGAAAAATTATATCACTTTTCATAAACTGCGGGGTTAATATTAGTTTAAAATTTTTTTGTTTTGAGATGATTTTAAGATTTTATTATATTTTTTATAACTGTTATTAAGACGTCTATTTTAGATTTCAATTTGTAAAATAAAGATATTTATGTAAATATAAGTTTGTAAGTGTATCTTTCACAGATATACTAAGTAAACTATATATGTTTTAATAAATATTGAAAAAAAAACATATATTATTATTACTGTTTACTACATACACCTGTGATCAGAATTTGTAACATTATGGTTATGAACAAATTCATTTTTGCCATGGCTTAAAATTAACTCAACAATAAGATATTGATATTTTCTACTGATACTTCATGCTTCTCATGTTCTTGAATTGAATTGAATTCCAACACCAATGTTAGGTTTGTAACAATAAACACGTCTAATTGGTAATAAAGTCTATATTATTTTTATAATAAAATATTTAAATTATAATGGAACTGAACTATTGTTTTTTTATGATTTTATGTTTAACAGGTAATTAATTATAATCAAAACACAGTTTTTTATTTACTCGGAAAGTAAAAAATTGTTATTTGCTCATTTAATTTTGTTATAATAGTTCAATATATTTAGTTGTTAATCAACGCTAAGTTTGTATTGCATAAAAAGTAAAAAAATTGTTATTAATAATTATTAAATTACTACATAATAAAAAATTATATTTTAATTAGATAATAGATGCATATACTTTTCGGTTATCGTATTTAGAATGTTGCCGGCAACATCGGTGAAATGATTGATTCCATTGTTATGTAGCTTTAGTAAAGTCTCACATACATAATTGTTCCAATCGTTTATGTTTAATGTCAATATTTGCTTTTGCATAATTGTTCAGATGTCTGTTTCTTAGATCCCAATAAATGAATTTGACAATTTTCAAAACAGGAAGGTTCTCTAGAATTTTGAAACCAATAAGTACCCTTACAAATACTTAAGTGTTCTTGCACAAAGACTCATCACATCACCACTAGACTTAGGATACTAAACATATAACATAACTTATGTGCATAATAGTTATAAAGGACATCACGATTTTACAAAAAATGTATTGTACTTTCTTATTCAATGTAAATGATAACTTAAAAGTTTGATACAAAGAATAATTGAGTATGCACTATGCAATACTGAAAATTACCAAGGGGAGTAAATAAAATACTATACAATTTTTTAATTTTACCCATTCTAATGATAATCAATAATAAAAATTAAATATAATGATCTTAAAACTCATGTAGCATTTGTGAAAGCTGGATACAAGTTTGTAACACAGAAACCAAGTATTAGACAATTAAGTACTTAGCTGAGATCAACATTGGGACAGGGGTGTTATTAGTATAAATATAAAAATTGAAATAAAAAATCAATCTAGAAAACTCTTGATCTAGGGCCCTTGAAAATGAATTTGGTAAATAACAGAAAATCTAAAAACTAATGAGTAAATGAGTCTCTAAAATATGGTGTATGAAACATTGAAAACACGGAAAATCTAGGAATCTTAAATACAATTGAAACAATTTATATTACTTTCAATCATTATTTTGTTTAATATTATTATAAAGGTAAAAAATTATTTATCAAAGATGTAGACTGTAGACACAAAGAATAATGTACAATAAAGTATGAAATCAACAGTGGAATTAGACTGTTATCACTAACAATACAATTTGTATTACAAAACAAAAAAAACTTTTACAAACTACAATCAAATTAAATTAAACAGCACCTTTGCAATTAAATTACTGTGAAGCTCAATATAGGTTTTAACAACAAAAATCATTAAACATTTCATCTTCATCAATTCCTTCAAAAATGTTTTGAATAATAGAGGTATCATTATTAGAATATTGATCTTCAGTTTTAAATTCATTTCTCGTCCGTTTGGTTGGTGGTTCTTCTGGAAAATTATTAGAAACAGTAGGAACACTTTTAAATAAATTGTGAGCTATAGAAGTTTTTGGTTTGAATAAAATTTTAACAGGTGTTGATTGGCCATGAGTATTATTTGTGATTTGGTAGTTGGCATTTGATGGTTGAGAACTATGATCTGTCAAAATGTTGTGTAATTTTAAATTATTAAGCGGATTCATCCGACTTTTAAGTATCACTGAATGAGAATTTTTATTTGAAGCTTCCACATTAAATGCATTCCATTGTTTGGCTCCATTGACAATTTCTTCATTTGTCATATCTGTTGTTCGAGTAACAATTACTTCTTGAACATCTTCTAAAATTATTTATAATTTGTACATTAGTATTTCTTACTATAGATTATTAATGTAATTCATACCAGAAGAATAACTGTAAATGGCAACCAAATGATCACTAGTAATATTTAGTGTAAATCCTTTGAGTATTTTTTGACATGAAACACCAACATTGGATAATACTAAAACAGCCCCTAGTTTTAACTGACAGCTAAATTGATTCCAAACAGCTCTATGAATTGTTCCTCTGATAAATCCTGTTTTGTCAGCAAGTAGAACTGTTGGATCAGGTGATAAACAATCAATTTCTTTCAAAACAGAAACAAAAAATGGTATTTTATCCGTGAAAAAACGACCAGACGCAGTGTACGGTAGCAGTTTCTGTTTTATCCATGCCACATTAAATTTATCTAGTAAAATATCAATGTCAGTGGTGAAAAAATCTGATAGGAATTGTTGATATGGTGATGAAGAAAAAGACGAGTCACTTGCTTGAATGCACAAATTCTAAGTAAAAATCATTAATACAACCAAAATTAATGAAACACGAAATATAGTACATTATACATAAAATATTAAGGGCGATTGTCCAAACATCCTACATTTTATTGTAATTAAAATAGTATAAAAAAGTTTCATATTTTTACTATAAATTATTATTTAAAAAATATTGAAGGTAATTACCTCTTCTTTGTTATCATTTTCACTAATGTTAATTGACCTATCCAAAGATTCCAAGTTTGAAGGATCTTCTGAATAAAGATCTTCCTGAAAATATAATTAAAGAAAACTGTATACTTAAAATAAGTAATTTGAAGGTAAACTGTTTTTTTTTAAACTATAAATAAAACTATTATGTATTTACATTTTCTGAAAGTAAACCAGCAGGTCCAGGAAATTTTCTAGAAGTACCTTTTGGAGTCATCATTTTAACACTAGTAATAGTTGTATTAAGATAACTATTGCAGTTTGATTTATTAAAACCTAAAAAAAAGTCTCGGATCATTAAATATAATATAAAAAAATTACATATGAACCTAAGATCTGATAAATTTACTTTTTATGTTTGAAGATTTTATCTCGCAAATTTCAGAGTTGACAATTGAAACCTGAAATAAATAATAAAACATTTTAATAATTTTAATTTGTATATTTGAATAAATATTGATTTATACAATTATAATTTAAGGACAATAATGTTAAGGTAAATTTAAATTAATAATAGTTTAAAGATTGAATAATTGATTAGTGATTTATGTATAGTAATAATGTTTATTTAAATTAATACCTCATTATGATCATCATTATAATCAAATTTAGCTGTACCGACATTGTTTTTTAATGAACTCCAAGTACTTTGTATTACATGGGAAGTGTTGAAAAAACTCTGAAACAAATGATTTGAAAATAAATAACACAAGATGCATACTACTTAGAAAATGTTTAATATATTACTTCGTCATCAGAATCAAAATCATCATCAAAATTTAATTTCTTTGTATTTTGCAGACTTTCATCAAATGGTTTTGTAATTCCTGATTTGGATTGGGTTTCAAGCATATTTTGAGAATTCTTGAAAATAAATAAAATCAAGTTGCGTAAAAAAAAAATAATTTGTTAAAATGTATTATACTTTTGGGTTCTACTTTTTTAACTAGAGTATTATTAATTTACTTTAGTTAATTGAAGTGTTTTAACCAAAATGTATTGTGTAATATATATTAACACTTACATCATTATTTTTATTTTGTTCCCCAGTTATTTTATTTTTTACTTTAATATCTTCAGAGTGTGAAGATTCCAATTCAAAAACTGAATTTGATACATTTAAGAATATCTGTAAGATAAACAAATATAATATGTTAATAAAAAATAATTAAATCAATTGCACTTAAATAAAACTTATTATACTTCGTCATCATCTTCAAAATTTGAAGTAACCAGATTTGAATTTGATGATTTTATTGGTGATGTACCAACAAATGGAGGCATCTGGGTATTAAGAAATACCTAAAAAAAAATAGATACTAATAAGTTATTTTTTAATGTAGGTATTGTTATTGTAAGTAACCGTATAATTCATGCAATTTCTATTCACATCATACAACAAGTAACAAGTCTTAAAATTAAAACTATTTCAATCATTTTTATAATATTGCTATAAAAGTATAAAATAAATTTACTTCATCGTCTAAATCAAAATCTTCAAGTTCAAACATGTTAAAGATTTATCACTGCTACACAAATTAATCACATTTCACTTGTAATTGAATAAAGAAATGAATAACTAATGTATTAGTATGTACATTGTTCAGTATTTTATCCCTTTATCGTATAAAGTACTAAAAATTAATTATTCAATTAAGAACTACTGTTGGTTTTACTCTTCTATAACAATTTAAAATGTTTTCGTTTCAACAAGAAGTTTCAGTTTCTTAGGTGTTTGTAGTTTTAAAATCAGTTCATCATACTTTGCATGTTGTAACTTTTTAGACAGCACTATAGCAGATACCCAGATCACGTTATTGCAGATTTGTAAATATCGGATTCCTAATACCTATTACCTAAATAATTAACTTTAATATTTTTTATTTCCAACATTTTAAAAATATTATTGTTAAATCGTGATTAGACTAATCTCGATAACGACTTAGATAAGGGTAAAAAAATAAAAATGATAATGTATTATCTACTATCGAAAACCAAAAAAACAGTTATACCACATTCTGTGATAATATCATAATTATTAATTAATTACATTTTTATCCAACTGTCCACCACGTCATGTTTATAATAAGTTATATTAGTTAACTATTCATGGTTTTAAGTATTTTAATAAATTGGAAAAAATTATAAATAGGATAAAAAAAACAAAAATAAATTGAAAATTATTTAAAATATGAAAATCATATGAGTATGTTTTGTATTGGGGTAGCACTGTAAAAATATTATAACCTCACAAAATGTACAATCACTAAAGTTCTCTCAGTTTTTCCTAGGGTAGCTCTTCTTGTTTGTGTTACTTGTTTTACTTATTCGTAATCGAAAAAGGACTTCACCGCCGTCAAAATGGTATGTTTAATCCAAATTTATCTGAATAATCGTTCAAGTAAAACCTAATACACTTCTATACTGAATAATTAATAACTTTTCCTTTTTTTTATGTATTAGAATTTTTTATTTAGTTGACTTGTATTTGTTTTTAATCGAACAGGACAAAATACAACTATGGTTATTTAAAACTTAATTATTTGTTTACTATGTTTCCTATTGATTTTTTATTTGATTTTTACAGGCCAAACGTACCAAGAAAGTAGGAATTGTAGGTAAATATGGTACCCGATATGGTGCCTCTCTGCGTAAGATGGTCAAGAAAATTGAAATCACCCAGCACAGCAAATATACCTGTTCATTCTGCGGAAAAGTAAGGAATATTTGTTTAAAATTGTATGTACTTAATTGATATCAAAAAAGTTAATGGGAACTGATTGTGTTTGAAGTAGTGAACTGTTGAAAAAATAGTTATTCGTTCCGAAGTATAAAATACAACATTTTCTTTCTTTATAATTAGAGATATGTTTTAATGTAAAGTAGACTTCTGTAAAAAACTAAAAAATGTTTATCTTAATTTTAGGCAGTGTATTTTTTATTAAATATTTGAATCATTTGCTTTTACATATTAGGTTTACGTTTTGCCATATTTACTGTACCTCTATTGAAATTAATAAAAAGGACCTGTTACATTATTATTTTTGGCAATTAGATACTTAATAGTTAAAATATTATAATTTACATTTTTATTGGTCACTTACAAATTATAATTTTGAAGGAATCATATTTTGTTGAGTTGTTAACTATATATCTCTAGTTTGAATCGTATATAGTAATTTAATACCTTAAAATGTAGCCAATGGTGTCTTTTATTACTAATTGTTATCTATTTTTCAAATACTAAAAAAAAATGTATTTAATGAACAGTTAAGTTGACATACGTTTGTGAAGCTTTACTTTGTATAAGTAATAATGAAGTAATTAATTTATACCGCATTGAACAGTATTATATCACTCAAGTTGATGGCTGTGCGCCATTTATGTTCTCTCTGACCCATTTACAGCAGAAAATGTATGTTTACTCTAAACAATTCTGTTTTTACTTTTAATTTTTGAATGAATTCACCTATGGTAAAAATTGAATCAAAAAACATTACCTGTGTCCCTATGTGGACTTCTGTATGACATTTTAATTTTTGTATAATTTATAGTCATATTCAAATGGTAATAAATTAAACGCCCCTAACTTGAATAAAAATAATAATGGCCAATGTAGGGACACCGGTAATGTCTTGACTTAAAGTTTGACGGTACCAAGTGAATTCACTCTAATTTTAAAAGTAATAACACGGGGTTATTTCTTAATGTAAATTTGCGGTTGCGCGTGCGTCAGAGAGAGATAATAAATACAATACACTAATGTTCTCTTAATACTCTTAAAAGAACTTTGGAAGTAGATAAAAGACATAATAATTATTATTTTAAATTTATATTTATTAGTATTCAGGCCAAATAAAATAAAAAATATTCTTATTTTTAAATTTAAGTATAATTTTAGAATTATAAAAATATAAAATGTTTACTTCTTCTGCTAGATGACTGATCTCTAATTTGTACATATTTTTTTTTTTAGGAATCCATGAAGAGAGCTTGTGTAGGAATTTGGTCATGCAAAAGGTGTAGACGAACTGTAGCAGGTGGAGCTTATGTATATTCTACAACAGCTGCAACCACTGTACGATCCGCAATCAGACGTTTGAGGGAAGTGAACGACTTGTAATTTCCAACATTTGATCATTATCTAATATAAGGACATTAAAAAAAAAATCAATTGTTCAATTTTTTCCTTATCCTTTGAAATGAATTTGTGAAAATTATTATGATCCTCTTTTTTTTTAGTCAAGTTTTGATCATATGCACAATATATACTACGTCTTAAATAGGTGAAATATGAAAACTAGCTACTATTGTGTAGAACTAACGAATAATTTTCTTAAAAGCCTTGATTGTCATTCTAAATTTCACTTGAAATTTTATCTCACATTCAAAATATGAGTGTCGTGTAGTTTTGGCATAGATAACTGACCATTGTGAAATTTAATATTGATAACACTTCTCCAACAAATCAATGAAATAATAACCCAAAAATGGTGACCTTTAGTTTTGATGTTTAAGTACTTGATACTTCATAAAAAAATGATTGACGAGCAACTTTGAAGAAGTCTGTTTTTTAATGGGCAAACAAACCATTATTTGTGTTAAGTTTCTAAAGTTACTAAAAAAGTAGTAGACAACATGTTAATTGTAATATTATTTTAGTTGAATTTTACTAGTTCTATTGGTAATATTTCAACATTCAATTTGGATAAATTATTACATGTTGCTGTGGGTTCAGGTACACAAATAATCAATACATAATAATGTACTAATAATAAATATGTTAAGCATAATTATCTCCATAATTAAATCACATATGGACTTTTTATATTTTGATGAAGTCATAAGAGCATTATATTAAGTTCATACTATTATACTAATACTTATACATACTATCATACTATTACACTATTCACTATCTTGGTGAGATGTCCAATATTCATACTTTAATTTTATATGTTAAAGTTAATGGTTTAAGGGCTATTTTTGTCCGGTTAAAGTTAACAAACACTTAACCGGCAGAAGTCTGATGATAATAAAATCTATTATCAGCCAGTTAGCATTAGCCGACCCTTTACCAGGCATTGTAAAAACCAGTCTTAATTAATTAAGGTATCTATAAATTTAAAATAATAACCATTCAATATATTATATTGGCTCAATATTTTTTTAAAACACATATGAGATTCAAAAGGTTCAAGTTTGTTGCGGTTAACAGTGTATAAAATGTACAGTTTATATTGCTAAGACTTAACAATATTTAATTAAAAATATGTGTACCTCGTGGAGACTTATAATAAGTATTTTCATATAGGTATTATATATTTTAATATAATATGCAATGACATTTTCAAAATATTTGGAATTTTTTAAGTATTTTCTGTACATAGTTGAATTTTCAAAATGTTTGTACATATTCTTTTTGAGCATTTATAGACATTTGCCATTTATTATTTTGAATATTGTTCTTTAAAGTTAAATGAATGATTAGGTATAACTGTATAAGTAATTATAACTAATAGAAAAATATATAAAGTATTAAAGTAGGCACCTACATGTAAGGTTGTGTACTGTATGTTTTGTATTATATTTTTTTGCCTTTGCAGATTATACCTATAAGTACGAAAGAAAAGTGTTATGTTTGGCTTACAACATTTTGGTTTAATATTATTCGACTCAAAAAACTATAACAACATGTATCAAATTGCATACTCCGTTATTTTGTTTACCACTGGCATATATCTAATGGTCGTGTTTCCTTCGGTAAACCATAAGTTCGACGACTGGTCAAAAGCGTTTTCCATGTCTTTGACGGCGGTAACATGTAGCGCGGGAATCATAACTTCAATGATATCAAGAATCGTCGTTTTATACAATTTCAAGTTTAAATATCAAAAGTTTAAGACGACATTAGAGGGATTCGAGATTTACATACCGATGAACACAGTCGCTTTGAAACACATTAAATACTTTTCTTTATCCGCGATTTTCTTTAGTATTAGTACTATCATATCCATGAATGGACTAAAATTGTATTACATATTTAATAATCACGCCAATCCTATTTTAATGACTACATATTTTTTTTTCTATTATATTCACAACCTGAGCATGGTGTGCACAGAATTGCATTTCGCCATTCAATGTTTTGTGGTGTACACGAAATTTCGAGATATAAACGAGAAGTTAATTCAAATAAATGACGAACAGAAATACTACAACTACAATGTACGATATTCGTTTTCTGCAACTCAAGTGGCGAATCCAAGGAGTACTGATGACACGGCATCGCCCTGTGTGATCATATATGAGAAAGATTTTTACTGTCCAAAAGACAAAAGTTATCCATTGGCGAACACTATCGAGCTGTTTAGAATTAAACACTGGCTATCTAGGGAAGCTATCAATGATCTAAAATATTTATTTGGCTTTCAAATGATCATGTCTATTATTATTTTAGCCATTACGTCATTATTCGACACTTATACGGAAGTATTTTATTCGTACACAAATAATTCGTTTCGTGAATCAGTATTCCGAACAAAGTTTCTGTTCATTGGGTGGATGCTACAATACACCACAAGGCTTTGCCTTATAATTGTCACAGCACACACTACAATTCAGCAGGTTGGTAAAATATCTGTATATGTACAATATACTTCTACAAAATTATTTGGGAGTAACGGAATTTGTTCCCAATTGGCATTTTGGCTGAATTGGTTCCCGTTTGTGTTCAATCAAATAGTTACAATTTTCATTTTTAAGCATTCTTCTGCAATAGCACCTACCTAAATCATATGCAGGTGCGTATAATTGATTTAAATTAGATAGTATAAAATATAATTATACCTATACTCTAAGCAGCGATTGGCAATTAATTTCTATAACGTCCAGTAAATTTGAAAAAAATATTCAAGGGCCAAAAACATTTGAAACATTAGTTTACAATAAATGTATCTAAAAATATTAACATAGTTTAAGATTAAGACAAATTATTTAATTATTTATAAGATAATTATATATTCATTTTCATAATAACACAATTTTACTCTTAAAAGTTTAACGTGAAAAATGACATTTCTTGTCTTGAGCCATTTTCTTAAATTTGGTGCTCTTGGAGAACAGTTAATCATCCGCGGAGTGTTTTCAAGGTAGAGATCAGTTAATCTTGAAGGATATTTTTTTTTTAAATGTCATTTTGGAGAATGAATTTTTACATTATATGTATGCGAAGCGAAACATGGTAGTTAATTTTGCGACAGTTTCCAAATTTCTGCAAAGTTTTTGAATCGCTTATACCAAATTATTCCCTTAAATCAAAAAAAAAAACTTAAAAACTTGCCGCAGTCTTTGTCGGATTCTTTTTATGGTTAAGGATTGTTGGAAAATGAATAAAATCTTAATTTTGATATCTTCAAATATTTTATGTTTTTGTCGGAAAGCAAATACACTTGATATCAGATCGCAAATTTACTTTTTATTCCCATGTAACTCAGTATTAAGTACATTTAAATTTGCAAGAATGTCTTTTAAAAAAGCTACAGCTAGCATATTGCTCTCGTTTGTTAAGAACTTATGATAGGTACCTCTTTAATTCGTCCGAATCCAAGTTTACCAAAAATGTGATTACTTCTACTTTTATACTCTAAAAACGTTCGATCACTTTACCTTTATTCAATCAACTAACATTGTTATGTTGAAGTAAGTCCGAATACGTCGAACCACATTCAGATAAAAACTCTTTAATCTGGCTGAAGAGAATATCGGGACCTCAAAAAATTAATCAACTTGATCATTACGTCCATGGTCCATTACTTCCTTCACTATTGTACTGAGTTTGGCACACACGGATGTCTGATGAATTATACATATTGATATGAAAGTATTTCAGCATTTTTATCTTTAATTCTCATAACAAATCTCTTTTCTCCACCAATTATTGCCGAGGTGTCTTTGGTTGAAATAGACACACATTTTATCATAACTAATATTTCAATATTTGGATAGTTATAAAGTCGTCAAAAGTTTTGAACGAATCTTCTCCGTAAGTCTTGTATTTAAATAGCAATAATGCTAGCAACTCATTTCTAAATACTCTACTTTCAATGTCTAAAAAGCTCACAAAATTGACATCTGCGATCTGCAGAATCAACAATATCACATGATTCATAAAGTAGCATTGCGTAGCGAGGTGCTTTTAACAATATGTTAATTAAATTATTTTTGTTGTCATCAGCCAAAATTTCTGTTCTCCTTGTATTTACTTTAGAGTCTATAGTGTACCTATTATACAATAAAATGGCAATAAATTGTTGCATTGGCGTTATATTAAATTTCTAAGTAATAATGCAAGGAAACTTATGAACAAACGGGAAAGAAATAACTAATACTTGAAAAACTGTGTGACTGAATACATTAATAAAAAACTTACAAAAATAACTACTTATTTATTTTCATATTTAATCAGCCTTTTTTTTACTGTAGGCAGTTAAAACCAAAAAGATAATAACGGAAATGAACAATCGACACACAGATAGTAGTACGAAAGAAGAGGTAATTGTCAAGCAGTTGAACCTCATAAAAACCTTTATTATTATTTCATATTATTTAAATATTAAAATTATACATACCTATTTTTTAATTCATGTATTTAATTTACAGCTACAATTATTTTATAATCAATTATCTGTCTGTTCACCTGAGTTCACCATTTTTGACATTTTGATTATAAACAATAGTCTCATAACTTCGGTAAGCAAATAGTGAGTAAAGAACCTAAATATGAATACGATCAAAATTGTCAATAAATAGCCAAAACATTGTATCTATTATCTATATATTATATATAAGTTATAACCAGTGTTGTTTTCGTATAAAAATGATAGGATATACACTAATTTATGAATTTAAGACTAAGTGATCTTGATGAATATTGTAATTTTTTAAGCGCACAACTGATCAGATTCAACTCTTCAAAAAGCAACAAATTTTATTTTACAAAACTCTTAGAAAATTTACAAAAATACATTTTTTGTTACCCAGTTTTTACATTTTTGTTTATTTACCTAAGAACTAACAATTATTTAAGAACTAACAATTATTTCATAGGTAAGATTTAACATCTTATAACATTTAACTTGATAATTCTATTGCAAGTTCTTATATATATTAGATAGATACTCGCTGTGATGGCGGCTACTCAAAGTCTCAAACATATTTTTATCAAAAAAACTGCAATAGTCATGATCGTCGGTCTCGGACGATGATTATTGAGGAACTATACAAATATAGGTACAGTGAACTTATACGCGGTAATAAGTAATAACCAATATTACTTATTTGTTACACGGTTCTAACTTATAGATGATTTATATAATATGTCATATTGTCATATGAGTATATGACAATAAATAATGATACAAAATACGGATTACTTAATTTGAAAAAAAATTCAGCCGTTTACACTCCTAAACACCACTGGTTATAACTTATATCAATTATAAATTGTATCAATGAAATATAATTGAGTCCACGTATTACTCAGTTGGGTGGGAGTGGGATATAAATATAAAATACACATAAAGGAAATATTATGTATTGACAGAATACAGAAATATGATGTTATAATAGAATTAATTGGTAGAATAGAAAATATTTTACAATATATGTATGTGTCTTAGCATAAAACAAATAGTAGAATACATAGATATACCTTGTAAACATTTTACTGTAAGACAATATAGCTTAGCTAATCTACATTAAACAATAAACAACCAAAAAGAAATTATCGCTATAGCAATACTATATTATAAGGGGTAGGTTACCCATTATTATTTGATCAACACCATTTTTGATAAGCTAATCCTCTGAACATAATATGTATAATATTATTTAATGGCGAAGGTAATACGAAATATACCTATAGGCTATAGTTTGAACAGATGTCAAGATGCTTGAATTTGATTGTGGGATTTTTCTGCATAAAGGATTTAATATTATAAATTGTTGACCCTTTTTTAATTTGCACCCTCCTTTTTGAATTTGAATTATATTATATATTTAAGCAACTGGCTTTTGAATTTTTTTCTCCCTGAAAAACTGTCTTTGGGAGTTTTTTAAAGTTTTGTTATACATATTAACACATTATAATTTTTAACAGTCTACGATTTTACAAATACCTATGTGATTTCAAGTATGGTTAATTTTAATTTTAACTCAAAGTTTTTCAAAAATAAATGAAAATTAACTTACTGAATAGGTATATCAAAAAAATGTTGAGTCTAATTCGAGGTCATGTGTTCTATATATTTCGTATTTCGTATTGAATCCATTATTTATTTGCATATTTAATTTCATTATTGCAGACTTTGTTAAATATATAATTAATCTTTGAATACTATTTGTTAAATGCTCCTATTTTAATCTAAATATTGTTTTTATAATAGATGATGTCTGCTGGTGCAACATATATACTTATATTAGTACAATTTCAGAGAGACAAAACAACTCATAAAGATCACGATACATCAAGCCGTTCATAAAAAAAGTTAAAAACTGGAGTTAACCTCTAAATAGCATAATGTACTTATAGATATCATCTTCATTCTTTTATTATATTATATACCTATCTACTGTAATTTTGTTATTTTTTTAATAAACAATTTATTAGCTCATATAGTATTGAAGTAATCCAACAAAGTTAACCATCAAAAAAGAGGGTAATTGGATGTCACTGTGTTGTACATTAGTTATCTAGGAGGTCGCTGTAATGGATGGTATTAAATTTGAATTCAATGATATCGTATCATAGTATACGAAAAACGATGCTGAGCGGAGACTGTATGTCAGCCTAAGATATTTTATATTGTTATTACTTATTATTTATATGGTAGCCGGTAAGTTAAATTAATATTATTCTTAAATTATCAGTGATGCTGGAAGAATATTAAATATAATTATGTAAAATTGAGCTGTTTTGGAACCTAATTACAACAAAATAATAAACGTTATTCTTTGTGTTCAAATGCAATCTTAAAAACTGCTTAAGTAGAGCCGCGGAGGCTTGTTTTAAATTTTCAATCCTTAACCATAAAAATTAAACATTTTATACATTTTTAATAACAAAATCATTTTCAATTTTCAATTTGATAAATATTGTCAACATTTGAATTTTAAATGCTCATAAAAATTAAATTTGACTTTCCGGTTGATATTTTTTTTATATAACGGTATACAAGCTTATTATATAAGTTAGCTATAGGTTTTAAATTTTTAAATCTTAGATATAAATAGAAATTTTTTATGAATTTCACACTAAATATAAATTGCTAATTATCGTGAATTTACGTAAATTTTTTTTTTAAATTTCCATAAACAGCAAATTACAAGGAACCTTATATTGAATTTTCAAGTTTTTTGACAGAGCGAACTTTTTTTGACTTGACTACTTGAGTTTAAAAAAACAAATAATAATCGAAAATTGTATATGCCTATAAATAATTAAACACAAGCCAAAATATTTTGAAAATTTATGCGTTGTATAGAAAATGCTAATATAAATATTCAGTGAAAATTTCAAGTATCGACGGTCATTTTTGTTAGAGTTTTACTAAAAACCAAAATCTATTTTTTCGAAAAATGGTTTTGCGTAATAATTCCTGTTTTTTCTTAATTTTTTGTTTGTTTTTCCTGTTGCTTTTGAAAACTATTGGTAATTTCAAATTTTAACCTACCAAATGCACAAAATAGATTCACTTTCCTACTAGATAAGTTGCTGTCGAAGAAAATCAAAGCACCTTTACTGCAAGAAACCGTGATGACAGACACAAAAAATAAACAAATATAAAAACACACATCATTGTTAAATCAATTCATCGCTCCTCTCAGAATCTAAAAGTCTATACAACATATACAACATATATGTACCTACTATTTTAAAATGTGTGTTAAAATAATATGTGAGACAATTATTATAGTTATTGCAAACTCGTTGTATACCTACTACTTGAATCAAAAGTTATAGGTATAAGGTAAAAATATTTAATTTAAAAACAGCATTGTATTTATCATTTATACGTATAGTACGTAAGTTACTACTTTAAATTTTAAAAAGTATAAATAGAATATTTTATTTGTGAAATTAGATTAATTAGGTGTTTGATTGAGAGGTGTTTTTTTTACATCACTAAAATTTTCAAAGTAATATAAACTGTAATTTTAATCGTTACTCAAAGTTTAATAGGCATCATTTAATAATTTTAAATATTCATTTTTAGTTCTCCTTAGCAACCATTAGGTACTACGATAGCACGTATGCCGATTATAAGTAATTATGTCCAACTCGCTTATCGCTCGATATTGTTCGAGTGTTCGCTAACCGCCTTTCATGTAATTTTGTTTTCGAATAATATGGCATCTAACACTGGCTCATCATCACGGGAGTCTTCTTCCAAACGGCACTATTTCAAATCTCCCCGAACTGCAGAGGAGAAGAAAACTAAGCGATTCGTTTCACCGAACAAGTACTTATGCCATATTCTATTCCGTGTACCGGATGAGTTTGTATTTCTTCCATCTCATACTATTAATCTGGACGACCACACAAACTCACCAAAACCTACCAACTCCAAAAAAATCACTTTTCATCGATATACCCATTTATGTAAATAGTGGTTACGATTATTCGACGCTCACAAAACATTTATTAGAACTCAGTCACAACTTCATTCATTTTAAATCTACTTCAAAATAACAGATCATCCACACTGACGATGCACCAAATTACAATTTAGTTTAAAACTATTCAATGACCTGAGATTTGAATTTGAAAACATACCATACTTATCAAGTTAAAACAGCCAAGTTCCATAATATCACTTCTTTAAAATTGTATATGTACCAACTAAAGATATTATATTATATTACACATAAGTTTGTATAAATAAGTCTTTAATATGTATCAACAGGTATTATAACAACTATTACGAGAAACCTTATTTTAAATCTTCAAACATTTTGAAACGAAAAAAACTGCAATATAATTTAAAGAAAAAAACTAAAAAAATCGAAAATGTCAATTGCCTATAAATAGTAACAAGTCAAAATATTATCATGTATAGAAATTGATAAAATAATTATGTGGCCAAAAGTTCAATCATTATGGTTATTTGTTTTTGAATTACCCACAATAAAATAAGAAAACAGTTCAATGAGAATTCATTAATTTAAAGGTGAATATCTATTATCAAACAAAATTGAACTTTAAACGTTCATAAAAAATTATTAAGGATTTACCTTCATTTATTTTAAATTTCCACAAAAAGAAACTTAAGAGGAACTATATTTACTAAATTGTCAAGTTTTTTGACTCAGCAAACAATTTTTTCACAAACAATTTAAAAAAAAACTTATAAAAATCGAAAATGTCTTATGCTTATAAACAGCTCAAAATGAGTCACTCTTTTTTAAAAAATTTCGGATGTGTAAGAAATTCTAATTTTAACATTCAATGAAAATGTCATGTATCTAAGGTCATTATTTTTTTTGTTATATCAAAAAATAAAATCAATTTTGTTAAAAATTGGTTCCATAATATTTTTTTCCCGACGCTTTTGAAAATTGTTGATAATTTTTACTTTTGACCCCTTAACTAGATTCACTTTACTAATAGATAAGATGCTCAAGTAGAAATTCAAAGCTTTCTCACTGTCTCAAAAGATGGTAATAGGTTCAAAAATAAATTTTGAAAATGTTGACGCATGCGTCAAATAAGATGATGCATCTTAATCGATATTTGAACAAGTATAGTTTCTGATTTATTAAACTTTATGCGCTAAAAATATAAGTACATTAGATACTTCTCAAATCATAACATTAGAAAAATAATGTTAATCACTTTAAATTTAATACCACCATAGCCATATTTTCTAAACATAGTAAACAGCAGTGGGTATTATAGTACTATAATTATAGTACCTATAATAGTATTATAGTACCCTTCCCCGAAATATTGCTAAAATTAAAAAATGTTTTCAATATTTTACGAACGTATTACGACGTAATAAGACATAACCATGTATAAAAGGTATGATTTCAGATTTGTAATTAGGTCGCTTCAAAAGTCTGAAAAGTTATCCTTAAGCTATACCACCCACGGTATCAGTATACCAAACTTATAAAAGATCCCCGAACTAAACCGTATACAATAATTTATCTACTATCCTTCCCAAATCCTGAAATACACCACTGTTTGGTAGTTAAAGTTCAATAACACAATCATTTCTAGGTAGTTCAGAATTTTATTTATCAAAGATTATTATTTTCAAAAATATCATCTTTTGATAATTTACAAAAAAAAAATAAGTATTCCATTTTTTAAAAAGAAGTTACCTTATTACCACTAAACTACTGAACACTTCATAAATCGCATAAGAAAATCGAAGTATTGCAAAATCTAAATTTTAAAAATGCATTGTTAAATCGGGCGTTAATATCACAGATCTTCATTTAATATATATGGATTCTTATCCATATAAATATATAATAATATAACATATTGTTACGTTTCATTTGATGACAAAATCATTCAAATAATATAGATGCCTATTGGCCGATCATTATGTTTGACATTTAAAATGCTTGATGCCTACTTTATATTACAAATATTTGATATAGTAGTTATTAGTTATAGTATAATATGGACGTTCGACACGTATCAGTCAGAACAAATGAGTATAGTATAGTAGAGTATAGTATACTTTTTTTAATGGTTAAACAAAACATTAAAGTGATCATGAAAATAATTGTGCCACCATTTGCTTATTGAAATATTGATTAATTCGGTTATCATACAATTTGTATTTTTTACAATAATATTTCAATGTTCAGTTAGTCGAGTATAGTCAATTTACACATTTCTTCTTTTTTTTTGCAATCTGTTACGTAGTAAATATAAAATACAATAATTTATAAGCAACCTGCGCACTACCTGTTACTTGGTAAGTATACAGAAAATACCTATCATTGGTACTAGTATAATACTAGTGTATGGTATTTATAAACAACGGTAATACATAATATATATATTTTAGAGTATTGAATATAGGTAAGTAGCTTTGAATTTAGTTTCAGGAAAAGTTGGAAACACCCTTAGATAGCCCAAATAGCCTAATATTTTGTATATGTGGCTTCCCTGGATTGTATGTCTCGGTTGCAGAAATGGGAGCCCTTTGGGAGAGGGAACGAGTTACAATGTATTTTACCAATGAAATATATAACACAAAAATGAACTTATTTATTATATTTTTAAAGACATTTATAATATTGTTAAATATTTTGTTATGTATTTTATTGACATTATAATGTAACATAATGATATTATAATCCGTATTCAGTATTAATTCAAATATTAATCTTCAAGGAGAATTTTATTTTTTCGAGTGTATTCTTCACCAATTAGAAGCAATGGTTAGAAGTTAGTAACAATTTTTTTAGGGCATATTTCAATTGCTTCGAAATGCCATTTTTACCTGTAACTATCAGTTGTGCCACGCATATCAACTCCACCGAATTTTGTTTCCATATTGATTCCACCGACTATTGACTCGCCGAATATTTGAAAATTGTTTATTTAAATAATAATAAAAATTATATAAAAGGCCTAAATTTAAATTTACTTATTCTATTTTATTATTTATACGTATTATTTACTAGCTATACAACCCGATTTCTCCCGAGGAAAAAATGTACAAAATATTTAAGATACAGCTATTGTAGCCATTGGACTAGAAACTTCATGCCCTTGAGAAGCTTAAAATGTGCATTTATTTATGCGATACAAAATCACTAACTATAATCTTAGTCACTTAAGTATGCTTTTAAAATATAC